GATTAAGGGTCCCTATTAGGGGTCCCTCCTAAAGTCCTTAGATGACATGTTCCATTGCCCCGCCAGCTCCTCTACGAAGTCGACGTAACCGACTCGTGCTCCTGGGGATGGCGCTTTAGGGTTTAGGGTTTAGGGTTTAGGGTTTAGGGTTTAGGGTTGAGTGAGTCTCTTGCACGGTCTTGCTTTCAGGGCTGCAAGTCTTTGAGGTGTTTGGGATTCGAGCCGTAATGTTACTGTGGATGGAGGAAATCTTGCACCAGCTTAAATAGACCAACAACGAGAGTACCAGGCGCCCCACGTTTAACATTAATGTCCAGTCCTTGGAAGGGCCGTGGGTTCCAGTGACAATAATCTTGCACCAGCCGTTTGGCAAACTACTATCGTCGATACAAAACAGGGGGTGTGGGAACCTGGTGATTGGCAGTGCCATGAGTCAGCATCTGGGTGGCGCAAGATTTGCTCCATCCACCGTATGGTGGTAAAAAGAGGCATCACAGGGGCTGAGAATAGTTCGTCGTCCTCGTGACCTTCGCCGCATCATAACTGTAGCAGCCCTGGTAGCTGCGGATTTAGTCCAATCGTAGAGTGGCACCAAGTTGTGGCGGTGGTGGTGCAGGCAGAGGCGGAGGGGGAGGGAGGTTGTGGTGGTACAGGTCGCTGGTGGTGAGAGTGATGGTTATGGCGATGACGGTAGTTGTGGCGGTTGCATCGTCGTCGTTGTCTTCGTACCAGCTTGTGTACGTTGGCACCGTCACAGTGGCTGGAGTCTCTATGGTATTGGTCAGCATGGTCGCAGTATGTCGCAGTGGTTTCGGGAACTAGTGATCATGCCAGTGTTTGACAGTGGCAACAGCCTTGCTTGCATTGCGAGGGTGTTGGTTGAGATTTCCAATTCATGGTGAAGTGTACTTAATTCACTGCATGATCTGTTCGAAGCCCCGTCCTACGCATCATCGAAATTGATATTCACAGTCAGACGCATAGCGTAATAATCAACACAATGCAATCTCAAATTGTTTTGAACTGTGAATGTGCAGAAGCCGGAAGTGTTGTTGTCGGTTGTGAGGTACTTCCAACTGGACGAAGGGGAGTACAAGGCAGGGGTCCACAAGATAAGATCAATAAATCATCAACTCGCTCGTGTCTATGGTGGAATCGCTCTTACTCTTACAGGGCCACTTATACCGTCAAAACAGGATTTCGATGCTTCTGTGCATTTTGTTATCAGGAGCGATGCATCGTGATCTGGCTCGAGAAGCGGACTCGGGAGCAAGTTTGGTGCCCCAAGGTTCAGCATTACTGGTACTGTAGAGTAATATAGAGCACCTACAGTTGTAGTGCTCTCTGTGGGCTTCTCCTGCGACGGTGGCTATCGCGCGCGATTCCAATGCTCTAATGAATACTAGCATCATAGATGTCCAAAAAATATTCGTTGTCGCCGCCACAATTGGAAGGTCAGCTTGTTGTTGCTAGTATTTCCCGGCATCGTATTCTGATTGTAGCTTTGGTGGCTCCTTCGTTGTCACTGTCATCACTCTTCTCTTCTGTACCCTTTGACTACGATCGCCACTGTTGCAAACATGAGACTCTATAGCCTCTAAGTCCTTTTCTATATACCACCCTGCAAATGGCAATAGGTCATCCTCATTACGCGAAATGGTGCAAATTATGTGTCCAAACTGACTGAACCCACTAGGCAGGAATCATACTGGCAGTACCTGCCCACCTCCATCTACTGCCCGTTCAGGTACGCCTACGATAGGTTCGAGCCTGTCAGCGAGCGTTTCCTGCTCCAGGGCGAGCGGAAGAAATCTGCCGACGGCCCAGCGCAGACGATGAGGGGTGCTGCGACAACCAGTAAGTACCTCCAATAGATGGGCATGAAGAATTTAGGGTTCAAGGCCTCGAGGGTGCAGGCTTCAGGCTTTTACATCGGCGATTCTCGCGCCAGTTTGAAGTGCTTGCCAAAGATCCAAGAAAAGCCACGAGAACACAAACACACACACAGAGAGAGAGACAGACCGCACAACGCCCTAAACCCCTACTATACAGTCTTCACCACAGCAAAAAACCTAAGCGCAGGACGCTCTGAACCGTATCATCACCCCTAAACCCTAAACCC